GTGGGGGGATTGTGTACCAGGGAAGGAGTGTTTCTTTTACTTTTCAAAGAGAGGAGCGAACTGGGGGTGGGGGTGGGGGGCTGGGCGAGAAGTGCAGCAATGAATGAATGGAAATCCAAAATCTCTGTAAATGCTCATTAAAATTATTTAAAAAAAACAAAACAAAAGACAAAAAAAAAAACCCACAACGTGAGAGTTTACTTTAGTAAAGATTTATAATCTTAGAAACCTGTGTGATGGTTCTACTCTGACCTACCCAGTCAGCATGAGTCAGAATAGACAAAACAGCAGTGGGATGCTATATGACTATTTTTAAAAAGATGTATATGTATTTAATGTATTAAAACTTTGGCTGATAAAAAAAATCTTGGTTTCAAAAAGGAATATTCATGCAGAAGGGGGGAAAAAAAGAATGTGTTTGTGTGTATGTGTGAGCATATATAATCTTCAATTAACAACAGAAAAGTCCCTCAACCTAAAATATTCTTTTTTTAAGTCAGTTGTGAGATCTCAAAACTATTTTCCCCCCTTGGAAATAAAGAGTTTGACTTCTCCGGAAAGTTCATAGAATCTAAATTTTTTAGTCCTGGAGGTAAAATAGTGACTATTTATGACAATATTTCAATTTTACCTTTTGTAACTTTTGAAGATTTAATTTACAAAGATGGCAAAAGTGATGACTTTTTGGGGAGCTCTGGTGGCCTAGTGGCAAGGAGCTACAACTACAATCCCAGAGGCACATGGTTCGAATCCACCAGATGCTCTGCTGGGGAAGGAGGGACAATCTCCTCCTGTACCAGTCAGATCTGATTTGACGGTACACGGACACAAATTAAAAAAAAAAAAGTGATGACTTTTTATAGACATTTTCATATAACCTGTATGGGTGATGTAAACAGGTAAGCACTTGATGATCAGCTGGTAGGTTGGTGGTTCAAACACACTCAAAGGTGCCTTGGAAGACAGGCCTGGCAACCTACTTCTGAAAAGTCACCACCTTGAAAATCAAATGGCATCACTATGAATTAGAATGAGTTCAAAAGCAACCGACAACTAATTATTCATACAGATAACAAAGAAGAAAAACAAAATTCTGATAATTCCACAAAGCAGGCATACCAACTCTTTTTTTAATTTAATTTTATTAATTTTAATGAACATTGACAGAGATTTTGGATTTCCACTCATTCATTGTTGCACTTTTTTCTTTACCCACCTCCCCCCAGTTCGCTCCTCTCTTTGAAAAGCAAAAGATAAACTTCTTCATTGGTACACAAACCAACTCTTTTAAAGAAGATGTATTTACTTCCAAATTGGGGAGAAATCCAACATTTCTATGTAACTAATATTACACTGTATTTAGTTTTGTATCTTATTCCACCCCCAATTGTTGTATTTTAATGGTTTTGAATATTATTAGCAGAGGTTCTTTGTCTGATCTCACTTCTAATCCTCTAAATTTCCTTCCTTTGTACTAAGTATGTTCTAATACAATTTTTCCTTTTAACTAGCCACAGTTTGTGTTTTGGAATTTATATGACAGCAGGCCATTTGGTTTGGCTTCGTTATTTACCCGAGCTCATCAGTTGATTGATGAGGAAAGAAACATTTAGTGAATCTGAGGTCTTGCTTGGGGATAGAAATAGTTGAAGGCAAGACCGAGAAGGGAACTCATCTTCAGATTGTCAATCTTGATTTACTTCTTTTAATCTCTGGGGTACAGAAAAATTGAAGAGAAAGAGGGCTGCATAGTTCCCCTGAAGGCAAGAAAGGAAATGATGCAACAAAGAGTTGGCTCAGTTAGGATTTCTGTATATGGCTTAGGTATAGCTGGCTGAAATTCAGAAAAGTTAAAAGTGAGAAGAGAGATGTACAAATAATCATCTTTCACTGAGTTTCTCTAGCTTAAGGAGTTCCCGCTCTAGGACTCAAAATTCCAGAATGGATGCCACAATATATGGTTAACCCATCCAAACAGATTACCAAATGAAGAGACTGAGAAGTTAAGATGGATGTAAAAACAATGCTTATCACAATCAATGAAGGTTATCACACCTTTTCTTGTCCTTGGAGCAAATTCCACCTGTTGTTGTTTTATGTCATCCAGGACATTCCATTTTATGTTGTCAAGTGCTGTCAAATTGCTTGTGATTCATATAGCAAACTATGTACAACAACTCTGAACCCTGACCTATCTTGAGCCAATTTCACTGTCTCCAGCACACCTATCCCCACTACCCTAGGCACTGAATCAAACCATCTCATCCAGGGTCTTCCTCTCTTATGCTGTCCCTTCACCCTTAAGAGCATGACATCCTTCTCCAGGACTGGTCCCTCCTGGCAACATGCCCACCGTATGTCAGATGAAGCCTCAGAATCCTTGCCTCCAAGGAGGAGCTTGGATTCCCTCTAGGACAGACCTGGTTTTTTCTTTTGGTGATCCATAGGATGTTTGAAACTCTTTTCCGGCACCACAACTTAAAGGCATCAACTCGTCTTCTATCATCCTTAGTCACTGTCAAGCTCTCTGATGCATAGCAAGCAACTGTGAAGACCATAGCTTGGATCAGGCACATCTTAGTCTCTAGACCGACATCGTTGCTTCTCAGTACTCTGGAGAGGTCCTTGACAGCAGATTTTCCCAGGGCAATTCATCTTTAATAGTACAGGAGAGCCTCCCCATGGGGTTTTCTAGATTTACAGAGGCAGATCACCAAATGTTTTCTGTCAACCTTAAGAGCTCTGGTGTGTAGTGCAGAACATGTTGGAATGCTAACAAAAAGGTTTGTGGCTCAACACCCCCCACCCCGCCCCAAGTCACTCTATGGAAGAAATATGGCCAGTCTCCTTTCATAAAGATTTACAGCCTTGGAAACCAAATGGAGGGTACCAATGAGTGGGAATTGGCAGTGTGCTTTTTTGTTTTAAAAGAGCAGCTGAGAATTTAACCATTGCACTACCAGGGGTTTTAAGTGGTTCAGGAGTTGTACTGTCAACTCAATGGGAGACAGTTCAAATCCACAAGCTGCTCCACGGAGGAAAGACAGGCAGTTTCGTCCTGTGCAATTTACAGAATCTAAAAATCCTCTGGAGGGTCAGCTATTAGCTGGTTCTGACTCAACAGCAAAAAGCTTGGAATTTCTTTCTTTTTTAAAAAATCTAAAGTATAATTCTAAACAATATGAACCATACAGCTTTGAATACCAATGTAAGGAAGCACTCATTCTTGTTAAACTATTTCTCTGTGGTCTTGTTGATTCTGTAATAGAACTTAAGACCAGTGCCACTGAGGTGAGAGGGTAGGGGCTGGTGGCTGGAAGAGTAAAATAGAGAGTAAAGGATTGTGGGAAAGCCAACCTTTCTTTTACAATTTAATAATGGCAGCTGTTCATTCAAAAAAATGGAAAACATTGGCCTAGGTGAGAGCTCAGATTTCTTTACTTGCAGCACGTGTCATTTTTCTTGATGCCAAAGATAATTTTTGTTCATTTGGCTCTCAAGAATCATTCTCCACAGACTGAAAATGGACTTTTCTTTTTCTTTGCTAAGACTCACCTTAACCTTATCGTGCCCTATGGACTTGAAGAACTTTCCAATGGATGTGCAGACCTGTACAATGCAGCTGGAGAGCTGTGAGTAACCACTACTGAAATGACTGTCTGCTTGTTCTTGCCAATGACCTGGTTATTTTAGTGTGGCATTAAGGAGAACGGAGCCATATGAGACCCATTCTTTACCTCCTCACTAAACTCAGAGGTCTTAGTAGAAAGACAAGCAAGCATGCTTGTGTGCATCTCCCAGTGGAAATGCCTCAGTGTCGCAGAGATAACCTTTCCAAGGACAATGCTAAACATCATGCCCTTCCTCAAACCATGTAAGCTTTTAAAAAAAAAGAAATTAAAAGGACTCCTTAAAAAACTGAGGTTAATAATCATTCACACTCTCAAATGATTCACACTCTCTCATCAGAAAGCGCATTAGTTCCACCTTTTATTTATATAGACCACAGCCCATCCAAATCGGTAGGGAGGGATAATTATATACACTGAAGTTTTTTGAGACCAAAACAGAGTGATGCTAGAAAAGGGGGCAGGAGAAGCAATGACATAGAGACATCTCCCTTAAATGGCCAGTGTAAACACAAAGGCAGCACAGAGAAAGACAGAGAGAGAACTGTCACCTACGTTGTTTCCCTTATGACCTAGTCCTGATGCCACGGCAGTCTCTGACATGTGCCCTAAATTGCTGACGCCTCCAAGATAATGGAATTTTCAGTAAGAGACAAGTAATGTTTTCTGGCTTGCTCTGTCAGTTTCTCTGTTTGTAAAATGCAGAGAATAAGAAGTGCTCCTGACCTACAGGGATGCTAGGAGATTTAATGAGGCAGGGGCAAGGAAATACTTTTAACATTTTGGTTTTGAAAAAAGAATAAACGTGGAAAGACACATAGGCTATTATTTAAGAGACGGTGACAGGGTTTTCTTCTGATCAGTTCAAATCACAGTAGAGTCCCCCTCAAACTTCCTGGAGAAAGAAATAAGATAATGAAATGCCTTTGTTTTAAGAAGCTGTCAAGGATAAAATGAGAATTTCTCATTTACAGTAGGTTTTATGTATTCATTCCCCCCATTGTCGTTTCTCTTGAGAAAAACATTTTCTTACATAATGATTCCTTTTTTAATATCTTCTCTACTGCCCCAAATTCTTCCCTGCCTCAGTTCAATATTTTCCCCTACTCACATTAGTAAATAATCCTTCCAAGAATATGAATATACAAGTATGAAGTAATGATGTGTTTGCCACTAACTCTGGAAGAAAAGAATAGGAATTCTTCCCCAGCTTTTGTATCCTGACATTACCTCCTTTCCCCACCTATCATACTCTTCTGCTTGCCTCAGGCTGGGGTTTCAGGGTAGCTGACAGGGAGAGTGACTGTGGTGGACAGTAAGACACTCAGTAGATAAATAAGGATGTTTGGGTAATCTGAGAATTTGTAGGAGATATCCAGGAAGTATGCATAACATGTGGCAGCAGAAGAGATGGGGTGGGTGAACCATCAAATCGTCAATGCTAGCACAGAGCACTTTGTTATTTCCTCAGTTTCTTTGTATAATTTTTTTAAAACATGATTTGAGTGAAAGTTTATAGAACAGATTGATATGCCATTCAACTACTGATGCACATTTTGTTTTATGACATTGATTAGACTCTCCACATTGTAATTCTTTGTTTTCCATATTTTCAAGTATTTTTTTTTTTGCTTTGAATGGAAAAAGTGGTCCAAAAAAGGAGGAAAACAGATTCCAATTAACTTTGCCATTGATTTCTTGTTAGCTTTGGTGAGTCACTATCTTTCAAGAAAGTAAGTTTTTAGATTCTAATTCTTGTTTAACAAAAGTGCTGAGGTTATCAGCTGGCTAAGAGCTCATGCTTTCCTCATCCTCATTTTAGAGTTACAGCATCATGAAATGGGAGAAAAAAAATGACAGATGGATGAGTAGCCTTCATTCTGTGATACAAAAAGGTCCTTAAAACCACTGATTCAATAGAGATGGGAGAGGGGGCTCCTAGGTTTACCTCTATGGCCCTTCGGTATTCTTAAAACCTGGGACACAACTCACTACTTAGTGGCTCAACTTTCAACCAGACACACAAATGTTGTTAGATACTGTTGAGTATGATTCAAAGTGACCTTATGAACAACAGATCTGAACTCTGCGTTATCCTGTGCCGTCCTCATCATCTCTGACACAACTGAGCCCATTGCTGCAGTCATGATGTCAATCCATTTCATTTGGAGAGGTCTTCCTTTCCTTTCTTGACCCTCTGCCACCTTTTCAAGCATGATGTTCCTCTCCAAAAGCAACATGCCTGAAGTATGTGAGACAAAGCTTTGTGATCCTTGCCTTCAAGGAGCAGTCCGGCCACACTTTCTATTCAGGGAGACTTTCTATTTTTTATTGGCCTGTATAGACAGGCCTATATTGTTGTTATGTGCTGTCAAGTTGAGTGTGATACATACAGATTCTATGTGCAATAACTCTGAACGCTGCTCTATACTGAGCCAATTTCATAGCCTCTGACATACCTACCCCCATTAGTCCAATCACTGGGTCAATCTACCTCATCCAGGATCTTCCTCTCTCGTGCTGTTCCTCCACCTTTCCAAGCATGATGTTGTTCTCCAAGGATCAGTCCCTTCTGGCAACATGCCCAAAGTATGTGAGACAGAATTTCAAAGTCCTTGCCTCCAAAGAGCAGACTGGTTATAAGGTGACCTTTAACACCAAGCAGGAACTCACTTCTTATACCAACCAACCACATATGGTCAAAAGAGCAGCATTTACCCAAGGGCAAAGCTCAGAGGCAGGAAGGGGTATAATAGAAGGATTAATAGAAATGAGAATTACAGGGAGGAAAGGGAAGAGAGCCAGTGTGGGTATTGTAATTGGCATTGTAAAACAAAAGTGTAGGAACTGGATGAAAAACCAATATACTTTGTAAACTTTCACTCAAATAATAAAACGGTCCAGAAGCACTTGAGATATGACATGGGTAGCTGGATCTTGGAAACTTAAGAAACTAGCTTTGCTTTGCTAAAGTGATGGAAATCTTACTTTGAATGGGTCAGTAGTTGTAGAGCAATATGACTTTGCAGAATAGAAAAGCTATCTTCTTTCATATTAATAATTATGATGAGTGGAGCAATTGAACAAGATATTAGCATAAATTAATACTCTTTACTTTCTCGTAGGCTACCTGCCCATAGTTTTCCACATTTGTTAGGGTAATGTGGGGTTAGCCATAAGAGCTTTAACATATGCTTTATGAAAGCAACACTCAGATCCTAGGAGAGGGGCCAAATTTGAGAGGAGAACATTCAGAAGACTCACGATTAATCTATTTCATTTGAAAAGGAAATAAAAGATGCTTTCATTTGAAATGGTAAGATGGGTGCCATCAATCGGATTGCCGTATTGGATTGTCACAGACACAGCTCTTGCAAATAAAGACAGGCTTCAAAAGACTTTTATGTTTGTTTACTTGTTTGTTCTTCAGAAACAACTAGTGAATAAAGAGGCAGAAGAAGATACGCTTTACAGATTTCATTCCCTCATTATGCAGAAAAAAAGGAAATCGTTTGGTGTCTTCAATTCCTTTGGCTCCAATGACATGTACTTGTCACGATGATTGCAGCTCTTTTATGAAGAATGTTCTTGAATTGCTTGAGCAATGTATCTGCTTTCGTTGATTTTCCTGTGTGTTTCTTTACGATGGCTAGTTTTGCTAGTTTTCTTGGAAAGACGTATTTCATGTTTCGCTCTGATTTGTTTACTCCAGTTGGGTATACGATGAACGACCTGATATTTGAGTGGTTAAGCGATGGTCCAGTGCAAGTTGCTGAAGGACTGACCCTGCCCCAGTTTATTCTGAAGGAAGAGAAGGAACTTGGATATTGCACAAAGCACTACAACACTGGTAAGTTTCCCTTCAGCTGATTAGCCCAGAGGGCTCTGGAGCTAACAATAAATAGCCTATCACCTGGTTTGCTGCACAATCACCACGCAAACTGAGAGACATGGCATAGACCTTGGCTTGATTCAGAACCACCTGAGCAGAACAGATGTCTCTGCGCTCTCTGGGAGAGGTCAGTGAGCACAACACTTTTTCCAGAAGAAAGAGAAGAGGTAATTGACATCCACTCCTGACACTGACTTCTCGGGTCAATTTGCATTCTGCCTTAGTGGAAAAGAGAAACAATAACACAGGTCCATGCAAATTCCCTAAGAGCATTGCACACTACAGTTCTAGGAGTTTGGATGAATAGAAGCTACATGTGATTAATCTACCTCCAGAACTGTGCATTATCTATCAGTAGTGCTGGTCCACACATGGGGTGGATGAGGAGCAACAAGTGGGCACCTGGTGTTGCCTGGGAAGTTGTATCACCTCATTAAGTTGGTGACTTTCTCTGTGAACATCCTGGTATCTGGTACCGCTTAAGCTGGTCATGAAAATACAACCAAATCATGATGCCTTGTCCACTGAATGTTCTACTTCACATGCTGAGAAGAACTGTCCACGAACAGCTTGAACCAGCAGGCAACAGGGATTCCATATGAAGTGGTTCAGACTTGATCAAAAGCTGATTTTCCTGTCCAAAAGGAATCCAAACCTTTCTTTTATAATTTGAAGCTAAATTACCATCAGCGGTTCCAACTCCAAGCCAATTAATTCAAGAGAAAAAGTGGAAAGAGGAAGGGTCATTTTGCTCTTGACATGATGCTAAAAGTTTTCATACCATTCTATGCACTCTATTTTATAGGCAAAGCACCACTCTAAGCGATGTATAAGAATTTTTTTTTAAATAAGGATTTTTTTTAAATTTTATACTAGTTTACTTACAAAGGTCAGATCCGGTGTGAAAAAAAATTTATAGGAATCTCCTAAATGTCCTCAAGTGATTATCTAGGAAGCTAGGAAATGTTTATAATGGTTGGATTATACACATGCTCATACAAATGCTTCTCTCGTCATTGAGTGCACAAAGCTAAGTGCATAGTTACTTAAATTCTTTTAAGAGTCTTGTGTGAACTTTATTACTTATAGGGGATAGCATCAACTATTAGATATTATATGTTATATAGTGCATGCTAGGGAGCTCTGGTGGCTTCGTGGTAAGGAACTGTGCTGCCATCCCAACGGGACACAGTTCAAATCCACCAGCTATTCCATGAGAAGGAGATGAGCATTCTCTTCCTGTGTGATTTACTGCCTCTCAAAATCTGCTGGAGGGTTAGCTATAAGTTGGTTCCAACTCTGTATATAACAACCACCACAGTGAGTGCTCTCTGTATATGCTATTGGTTATACATGTTGTATAATATCTATTATGATTTCATAACATTCAAATATCTTATGTTTGATGATCAGTTTATAATAGTCTGGTACATTCTAAGGGGTTTCTTTGAAATCCAGTGGCAATAAACACATTTTTAATAACACACATAATACAATATACAATAAACACATTAAGGTTAGGGTTATATGCTGCATTATTTTGGCATAGTGACTCTTTAAAGAATGCACTTTCACACTATCACTCCCATTAGCTGGAGCTGGAGAAGAGTTAAGTTGGTTATACGTGATGAGCATTTTGTTCAATCCTCTGACTCTATCTGCAATACCTGTGCTTGGTTTTTAGTAAAGTGGGATGCTGGGATGAGAAAGATAAATTCAAATTGGACTTAAAATGATAATTTCCTGCTTGTAGGAAAGTTTACCTGCATCGAGGTCAAGTTCCACCTGGAACGCCAGATGGGATACTACCTGATCCAGATGTACATACCCAGCCTGTTGATAGTCATTTTGTCTTGGGTCTCCTTTTGGATAAACATGGATGCTGCCCCTGCCAGAGTCGCACTGGGCATCACCACGGTGTTAACAATGACGACGCAGAGTTCGGGTTCCAGGGCATCTCTTCCAAAGGTAAGAAATTGCTTTGATTTTCAACAACTCAACCAAGTGACTCAACAGAGGTACTGAGGGATGGAGAACTCTATGTGGACAGAAAGGTATGCCTTCTGGCAGCACTCTTGGAGATTACAGATGTTCAGAGAGAACAAAGAGCTAGATTTGAGAGAACTCGGGCTCTATGTCATTGGGAACTCATAACATCAGAGAAGTTGAGGGGAAGAGGAGTTAGAGTTGAGAGCAAAGCTTTAGGAGCAAGAGTAAGGGATTGTGGTTAAGAAGCCTTTGAGTGAATGCCTTAATTTTATGCTTTTCGTGACATAAGATGCTTTCAGGAATGGGGGGAAAGATTGATGTACCTTCTGCTGTACTGTCAAGTATTTATTGGTGGAGCTATTATAATTCATGTGCTCAATGAAGTAATTTTCAGTAATGAGTTTGGATTAAGCTCCTGGAAATTTGCATAGTAAAGTCACGTCAATGTATATAAAAAATGAACATGAAATTAGTTAAGGAATGTTGCCTTAAGCATTGCACTCTAGAAATCCAGCTATCTGAGACCAATATTACAATAGTAATGCTAGTGCAGGGTTGAGTTTTTAATGGGACAGTGAGTCCAAGTCAATGGAGGTGAAACAACATGGGAGTGGAAAGGACAGTGAGAAGAGTGATAGAACCTCACGGATGTAACCCATGCCACTGAACTGTACGTGTACAGATTACTGAATGCGTGTACCAACAGTTGTGTATACTGTAACCAACAATTTTTTAAATGAATGCATAAATGTGCAATATTAGGGTGAAACCAACTATATACATTATTCTTTGCTGAACCTTAGTCTCCTTAATGGTGGATATAATACTAATTTCATGTGACACAGTTACCTATGGAAGGAACAGTAGAATCACCCAAGAGGGTGCAAATTCCTGAAACTGAGCCAGGCTGAGAGTGCGGAGTAGATTTTTAGGACATTTATTTAATACCTCCAGTAATAATCTGTAAGTGGATGTGGACTCTGCATTTAGGGAGGTCTGGTGGCATAGTGGTAAGGAGCTGAACTGCCCACCTGAAGGCATGTGATTCGAGTTCACCAGCTGCTCCATGGGAAAAACAGAGGCAATTTCCTCACATGCCATTACTTGCTCTGAAAACCCACTGGAGGGTCTGCCATGTGTTGGTCCTGACTTGATACATAACAACACTTGTTATGTACTTGATACATAACAACACTGCTTTTATGACATAAAGCCCTTTGTGCATCATAATTTTTTTCCGCAAATAATAAGTAATCTGCTTGTGAATGCCCTATTTCCCCTGAGATGTGACTACGTGTGTGTCCCTCTAAGCTAAGTCCACTGAGCTGCTCATTTCATTTTTCCTGGTGTATACCTTCAATTGAGCATTCTGCATACATATTGCATACATATTCTCTGGTTGAGAAATCTCACCAAAAACAAATTCTAGGAAATAATCGAGATGTGGTCTCATATCTCAGGCTCATGTTTGGCTATGCTGTACTTGACATGACAAGAAATATTAGCTCATGCTCTGCATCATTGTCCATGTTTGGAAGAAAAGATGACACATGGAAGAAATCTGTGAGTACAAGAGAGATGGAGTATACTAAATACTGAGACAATGCTTATTCAAAGTCATTGAGTTTCATGCTTGAAAGACAAATAGTAGGATTTGTATGCTAACAGAGAAAGGAAATAGTTGATAGTTCTATTATTTTCTAGGATAACAAACCATATAATGTCCCTATATCTTATTTCCAAGAATCCCAGGTGATGCAAATGTTTGGGTTGGACTGCCAATTGGAAGGTTGGTGATGTGAATGCATCTAACACCTCTGTGGAAGCAAGGTCTGGTGATCGATCTACTTTCATAAGACTACAGGCATTGAAGAGCCTATGGTGTGTAATTCCATTCAGAAACACATGAGGTTGCTAGGAGTTGTAACTGACTCGATAGCGATGGGGTTTTTTTGTTGGCAGAAGTTTGTTTGGTCTTCCTTCTATTAGACTACAGATGTCAGAAACACTAACAGCTTTGTCTTTGTTTATTCAGCTACGAAATAATTAGAGGTCATTTTTACCTAATAGAAATTCTACGCCACTCATTGCCTCCTCCCAAACAGGTTCATTTGCTTGCCATTGCTGCATGCCATGTTAGTAAACCACAGGAGGCACAAGCACGTATTTTCCAATTTATAGACAGCTCAAGTATCAGTGACAAATTATGAGCAATCATTTCAAAACATAAAACATTTAGCCTCCAAACACTCATTGCCATGGAAAGAGTAGTCATTTATTTTCAAAAGAGGCACTGAGTTTTTATGCACTTGCTATTCATCCATGTTAACTATTCTGATTCTGCATTAATGGTGAAAACCATTGTTTAATAAACTGTCAGTGATCTTTGTAGACAGAAGCAATGAGTAACTCAGAAAGCAACAGAAGGAATAATAGAAAAGACAGTTTATACTTAGCTTTAAGCTCACTGGAGTTACCCTTTTGCTATCAGCATATTTATCTTCCTACATGTACTTTTTCTTGGGCTATTATTAAATGGAGTTGGCTTTAAACTGACTGTTGAGAGATGTGACTTATATATTTGATGGTGAGAAACCAAAATGGGATAAAGAGTCATAGAAAATAAAGAATTGCCCATACACCTCCAGCTTGGTTACATACATACATACACACACACACACACACACACACACACACACACTCATTTTAATTTCTTTTTTTTTTCATTTTAATTTCTAAACATTGCCATTCCTAAGCAGATGCCCCCTTTCATGGCTGTACAGTGGCTTTGCTGCCTATGATAATGCTCTGTGTGGAGTAGGCATGTGTGATGGTTGCACTTTCAAAGTAAGACATGTCTGTTAATAAGAAAGAGACAAAAATAATGTTAACCAGCTGGCAAAAAGCTGTTGTGAAGACTTGAATGGATTTCTTTTCAGTCTTTTCTCTCTGTGGGAAAATCCATGCAAATGAATAGATGCATAAACACACAGAGAGAGAGAGAAGAGAAGAGGAGAGGAGAGGAAAGGAGAGGAGAGGAGAGGAGAGGAGAGAGATCAAATTTTTATATAGTTTGGTCACTCCATTTCCCATGGCATGAAAAGTACGTCTTGAAAACATTTTTAAATGACGATCTAAATGTTGGACAATTCCGACTGCTGTTAAGTACCATCAAGGGGACTATGACTTATAGAGACCCTATGAACAACAGCTCTGAACTTTGCACTATCTCTTCGCCATTCTCATGCTCAAGCCCACTGAGGCTATAACCTTGTCAGTCCATCTTGTTGAGGGTCTTAATCTCTTTCTCTGATCCTCTATTTTCCCCAGCATGGCATCTCTTTCCATGGTATCCCCTCCCCATAACAGGCCCAAAGTATGTGGTATCTCTATCTATCTCGTGTGCTAGGAGGGGCTGTTCTTTGGAGAGGAACATGATGCTTAGAAGGGTGAAGGGTCAGTGACGGAGAGGAAGGCCCTTGACCAGGTTGAATGACACGGTGTCTGCCACATTGGGCTCTATTGTGTCAGATAGTGTCAAGATGGCACAGGATAGAACAGGGTTTGGATCTATTGTTCATAGGTCACTATGACTCATACTTGACTCGACAGCACCTAAAAACAATATATATCTTTGAAAGACCATTACAGGAAATTACATTTAATAAGTATATGGAAAATAAATCTTTACTATGGATGTAAGAAAAGAGAGACCATTACAAATACATTCGTATGTGACTGTGTCTTACCATATTCTAAATGTGTATGTGAAAGTTTTAAAAATATTTTTGAAGTTATAATGGTAAAAGTGAGAGAAAGAACTGAGGATGGCTACCAACGAGGGTGCCTAACCTATTAAATGTAAGGATAAAGGTAGGGTGAGAAGGAGAACAAGGAGGGGACTGAGCTAAACTTAGGAAGAGATGAAATGAGTCAAGTCCTACACTGCCACTGCTGTCAAGCCAGTGGCCAAAAGGACATAAAAATATGTCTTGGAAAAGGGTGCAGTCAGGGTACTCTATGGAGGCAAGGATAGTGAAATGTCATCTGACATACTTTGGGTATATTGTTAGGAGGGTCCAGTTCTTGGAAAAGGCCATCATGCTTGGAAAGGTGGTAGGAGGTCAAGCCCCTCAATAAGATGTGTTTTGAGTCCTCATTTGTGGCTGGAGACCAGAGAGGTGACTTACCATAGGCAGGTGACAGCTAGGATGACCTCAGCATGCAGGTGGCTCTGTCAGCCCTCAGATTCATAAATGTCTCCTTAGAGCAAGGATCCAGAAGCATTGTGTTTAGCTATCATTAGCCAAGAATCTCTATTTCCTACAGAAGGAAATTTCCTTTACTTTTCAGCCATCTGGTAAACTAAGACCAGCTGGACCATTTCAAACAGCTGCCAAACCCAGGACAGCTCGGGATTTAAAACAAAAAAAGAGACCATAATCCTGTCACATTTGGTCTTGCTTTACCCACCAGAATCTGCTTCTAGAAACAGCACTAAGAGAAACTACAAGAGAAGTAAGATTGTGTCCTAGAGGAGTTTTGAAAAGACGATTTGTTTCAGCTCTAAAAAGTAAAGCTAATTGCTCCTTGAATCAGTGTAGCCCAGCTAATTGAAATGACTTTCCCAGGCCACACCAGTATTTCTGAAAGAAGCTGCGAACATCTTTGTCGATTATTGCGCATAATCAGGATTTCATGAAGTTCTTGGAGAAGAGATGGTAAAGAAAGAAAAAGTTGAGCCTCAACAAATTCATCTGCAGGCCTGCTTGTTTAAGCCAGATGTCTGTATATGTGAGAGACTTCATGAACTTTCCCTCCTGACATTTCCCAAGCCACAGCAAATTCAAGAGCCGCTGTTGTAGTGAGCAGTGAGCGTGTGATAAAAATATGCAAGGAGATGACGTGTGAGAATCCTCCTGGGACAGAGCTGGAGCTCCACTGCACTTTAGCTCCAGAGTGGCTTTGGCAGCCTTTGC